GATTAATATATATTTCACGACTCAATTTCTTTGTGTCTCCAAAGAAAGATTCTAAAGTTCCTCAGTTCTCTCGAACAAAGTTTTCAACGTTCGAATTTTGAATTTTGTTCCAGTTCGAGGTTCCGAGGAGAGAAAAATTCATCTCGTTCGTATACCTTGGAGCGACGTTAAACAGTTAAACTGGAGCACGTCGAGGAGTGACGAAGGAGCCAAGGTAAGCTGCAAGTAATTGTATAACCGGCTTCCGAGAAACGGAACGCGTATGTTCTACCATTGGTTGTGTGTATTTGTCGTTGCTCTCACCGATCGGCTCGATATTCCAACGGTGACGGACAAGTTTTTGCTAGAATGTGGGTGGAGGAGCGATATTTTTAAGTCCAACGGATCGAAATTATAAACTTGAAATTGCAAAAAATTGCGCACGTGATAAATGAGAGTTCTTTGAGTAAACAGAGTGTACAAGGGAAAAAATGTACTGTCAAATAAAATTCAAACTTCATCCGAACAGTTTAGAGACTGAATAATGTAAAAAAAAAAAAAAAATAAGGCTGTAATTTTTCAGACTATAATTATGAAGAATTTCTAAGGAAAATATTTTGGAAGAAGTATTTAGTACAGAAAAGATTTTATATCGATATTTTCAATAATTTCAAACTCTCTTTTATCTGTAATTCATCAATTCCTCCCATTTTTTTTTTTTTTTCGTTCCACAGTAGAAACACACTTGTGAACGTTCAACAATATATTATTAACAACAGAAACGAAAGAACGTAGTGTGAGATTAAAACAGAACTAATAAACCTTTGAGAATAATGAAATTCAAAGGAAAAGTCCTCAAATGACACACAACAATTTTAACGCAGTGTAACACAGCATTGCACTATAACAGTAAGAATTAATAATCAAAAATAAATTAAATTAATCGAGGGTTATTAAAAATTAACAATCATATATATGTACATTTTACAAAGAGACTACTGTACGACTCCACGTATATAAATTGATTGCGAGACGAATATGTGATTTATACAATTGGCGTTCGTATTAGAATCCTTCTCTCTACCAACGACTTTTCGTTCGTACAATAGAAATTCATGTTCAAAATCTGGTCTGAACAAATAAAGTTCAAGTACGCGAAGGGTTTGAATGAAAAATTTCGTCACAAAATTGTCATTTCGTTCGCGCAATTGTCAACGGTAAAAAAAGAAAAAAAAAAAAAGGAAAAGAAAATCGTCGAAATCTCGCGCCGAAGAGTCGAAGAAAAGAAGTCACGTTGAAGTGAACACGCGGCCTAGGATACACCTTTCTAAATTCGACGATACAATGTACGGATACGCGGTTGGAAACAAAGGGACAATGGCGACGGGGAAGCGAAATAGAGGGGAAGGGAAAACTGGCCAAATAAGCCCGTCACAGGGCATGTAACGAGGCATATAATAACCCACGGCGACGTTCGAACAAACAGCCATCTGTAGGTAATACCCCTGATGGTGTGTAACGCCCCGAAAACTGCGCCCCGCCAAGAAATTACAATGACAATGAACGAAATCCGATCCGCCCGCGGGCATCCACTCCAGTTTTATTTCGATTTCGCACCTCTCTGACGCGCTGACGAAACGTATTTAGCCTGCCACGGTACAGTACAGAATCTCGAACCGGTAACACCTTTTCCGCCATTGTGCCCTTTCCGTTCGGAAGAATCAAGAATCGCGTCGAGGGTTGCCGCTACATACTGTGTTTTGTCGTCGAACGTCCGGTGAGTAAAAATGTGACGACTGCACGATGGACTGATGATCGCGGGTTTTTATGAATTTCTAGGAAATTTGAAGTAGTATAATTATACAAAATATCCTAAATATTTTTCGAATATTTGTCTTTCTTTTCTTTTAATAGATGAAATATTTTTCTATCTAGGTTTTAAATTGTATTCAGTTTTTAAATTGTATTTATAAATACAATCGATTGATGATCATCGAATAAATTATTTAATTTTCTTGCTCGATCATGAAACAAGCTCAGTTCTCCTTCTTGTCTAGTTATAAAACAAATTATACCTAGGTTAGATTTTTTAAATTGTATTGATCAAATGTCCACAGTTCATTGATGACTTACAACCAATAATTCAAAAACTCGCAACTATAATTAAGTTTTGCGATCAATAATTGAAAAACTCGCAACTATAATTAAGTTTTCCTCCTAATTATTACAAGAAAAATTCTATTCTATTCAATTCTGTGAATTACGCATGAATTTCCTTCGTCTAATAATAAAACAAATTTAATTTCCACAACTATGAAGTGAAATTTTCCTTTCAATTACAAAAAAAAAAAAAAATTATTCTATTCCGTTCTTCGAATTATAAAAATTTTCCTTCCAATTGTTAGACAAATTTAACTTTCAAGAACTGTCGAGTAAATTTTTCTTCTAACTATAAAGAAATCCCTATTCTATTCTGTTCTTCCAAGTATAAATTTCCCTGGTCCAATTGCAAAACGAACTTCACTCTGTCATTGGCAATTAACTATAACTCGAAAGAATGGCGATCAAAATGAGTTTCCTTGGTAACCGATGAGAAAAACACTTGAGAATAAAATCCAAGTGTCGGCTGAGCAAAACGCGCGCGTAACACTTTCGCAACGTGTATGTTCAGCTGGCTGCGATACGTTCTCGCATCGACACATGCGCGATCGCGATCCAGAGGATCGATCGAGGTGCAAGTTTCCTTATAACAGGTACACATCGTCGCGATACATCTTCTCTCATCGCCGTCGAATAATTGGTTCAACCTTGCGCAATACGTGCGTATTGGGCAGTTTCTGCCATCTGCGCGCCTCTATTCCACTTTTTAAAGCGACAATTTAAAATTCCAACGTGAAGGATTTTCGATCGCTGGTACGTGCCACCGTGTTGGAACCTTAAGTGGACTTTCAATATTTTAATTGAATACTTAAGCGAAGTTACAATTTTAATTTAATAATAGTTATTGTACTCGGAGTTTAATTCACACCAAAATGATAAACAGAAATAAATGTAGAATTGGAAACACAACGAAGTAATAAATGACTATGTAATTACGTGGCTATGAAAATTGAATCGTATAATTGTTGGTTTAACATTAATACGATCTATCTGAGGACCTTAATAATTAGAATTTAATTCATGTCGAATTCGCAAATAGAAATGAATGTTCCTTTGCGGTATTGGAAACATAATGAGACGATAAAAAATTATATAAATCTTTGAGTAACGACACCGACATATATTATATTATATTACGTTTCCGGATACTGTGTATATTTTGAATCTTTAAATGTTCCACGAATGCATGAAAATCCAATGATTATTAAAATAAGGCAGAACCGCAATGAAGGCAATAATCCAGTCACGTATTGAACGAACCTAAACGAAATCTACGATCCGTACAAATCGTTTGTTTCTACATTTATAGTTCCGAGAATCAGTGGCAAGATCGGCGTGAAAGTGCGACCCACTACCGGCCAGGCGAATTTATTGGGCAAGTTCCGAAGATAAACTTTTAATTAGATCAATGACGTACGGACTTTTACCTTAGTTCGATGCTATCTAGCCTGTTCTGACGAGGATTGGAAAATGAGAAGTCAATTTCACGAAACACGCTGAGTTATAGCGGCGTCTTTCGGCCGACGGGATAATTGAATTTATTATCGAGTAATTTGTTTGGCAATCAATAACTTGTTTTATGGGTAGCTTGTTTTCTGATTATCTTAACTGCCAAAGTACTATATCTTAGAAGAAGCGTAGTTAATCTTCAGCAGAATGTAATTGTTCATTTTGGTCATGTTGTTGATTAACGTGCAACGCTTCGGAACGATGGTGGTTTTCAGTACGCTATAGTTATTTTAATGCTAAGAGAAAACTAGACAACATCGAATGTTCTCAGTTGTCCTTGTGCAATATTGTTTCGACTCGATTCATTTTATTTTAAAGCTACTGTTAAATCATCAAATCTAGTGTCTAAGCTAACGTCAGCTGATAAAATGAAAATCGTACCGTGATATGGTGGGTTCTAAATTATAGTGATCCAAGTCGCGATCTTGGGAATTCGCATTCAGTCGTGTATTTCAATTCTTCATAATTAATTACAATTTTATATTTTTTATTCTTTACTCTATATTCTTCATTCTTATACTTTCACGAACATGAAATTTGTTTCATCTGTTGAATATTGTAATACAAATATTCTGATACTGAAGCACTGTTCTCGCGATATTTTATATATTTTCACATTTTATAGGTTTTTGGTTAATCAAAAATTTTTCAATACATTTCCATAACATTCAAAGTCTGGCTGTAAAATTTTAACGCGCCACGTTCCCACGACTTGAACAATTTCCCTATTGGTTTTGCATTTCGTGAAAAATCAAGCGGACTGATTTGTATCGATGCGATTCTCGATTTTTCCAAATACCGCGAGAAACCGATCAACGATCGTCCAGCCGCGGTTCATTTTCCTTGCAACCACGACCGTTCAAGGCGTATTAATGGCCATCCGCTTTTTTTATTTCTTTTTTTCATCCTCGGTTTGAAATTCAGACTCCGTTCATGGACGAGCAGTCGATACGACACCGAGGCAGATAAATTCCAATTAAAAGCGACGAGTTACCGGCACGGCGACTTTATATTTCCGGTTGCGCGATAGACACGTTTTCCACGCCGGTATAATGCCACTTCTTCGCCATTTATCGGTTTGACGAGGTCTCGTTGTTCGTGGTGCTAGAGCTTACGCAGCTTTGAAAATTGAGAGAACGATATCATCGACGAGATAACACAGGCTGATAAGACGGTAAATTTAAGTAGCACCTTTGATAACGAGCGTTAAACCGGGAACGAAACTGGTAAGATGGAAACGAATAAGATTATCGCGATAAGGTTGGATAAGCGTCTTTAATTTGAAGGTGGTTTTAACACGATCTTACAACGATACTTGTCGATAATGCGGTAGATAGGAGGAGATTACTTACTTTTTAGGAGAGGCAGGTCGTTCATGAATCCTCCATCGTCTACGTTTGTGTTCTGAAATAGCAATGAATATATAAGAGATCGGCGCAAACGCAAATAAAAATATAACGTTTGAAATATATGTTTAATCGAAAGGAGAAAACTGCAGTGTTATTTTTTTTTTAGTTTGGAAATTCGCTTCAAATCTCTCGCTGACGTTATAAGAATTTTGAATTAAAAGGAAAGGATCGTAGAATTGTCTTTTGAAAAGTCATTTAATGGAAGACTTCATTCGTTTAAATCTCAGGCTTATGTAAACTTGACGAATAACGTTAACACTATAACGACCGATCATACAGCGTCATGTGAATATCAACGCTCATCAACTGATGATATTGTTGCGACGTCGTGTAATTTCCAACAGTTAACGACCGTCGAAAAGCGCATTGTAATGAGTCTAAATATATACATTTAATACTTCTTACACATTCATTGTTATCGATCGTTCCTTTGCACATAATAAAAAATCACACTCTGTGTAATAAATTTGTTTTAAGTTACTACATCAAGAAAACAACCGGTTGTTACAGTGTTAGCGACGCTAATTTAGAAGGATTAAAAAAATTTTTTTTTTTATAAATATCGTAATGTAAGCATTTTCATTGGTGAAGTGATCGGTGAGTGCAACAACGGTAGAACGATAATAGAGAAAATGCGTTGCGATTACGTACATCGTCGCTCACCTGGGGGTCGTCTACGAGGCTGCTGTGGAGAACGAGGTCGGTTTGGTCGAGGCCTGGGGGTGGCAGAAGGGCGTCAGGACGGCGGACAGCGCCATATTCGACGCTTCTTCCACCGCCGCCGCCACCGCCACCGCCACCTCCGCCGCCACCGCCTCCGCCACTACTGCGACCACCGTCGTATGGAAACGACGCGTGCATGTTCGACTGAAATTAAAATATGAAAATTTACGTTTTGGGCAATTAGAGAAGAAAGTATTTACTGGTCCCTGACATTCGTTTTTTCCAACTTGACTTGTCTAATGACAATAATACATATACTTGTAAGAATATAAAATAATAAAATTAAATCTTTCAATACTGTTGCTATTTAGAAAGCAGAAACTTTAGAGTTTTCAAGGAAATTAGCAATTTAATTATTACATACTCGAGGGTTCTCAGTATAGGTAAGATACATGTGTATGTTCAAAAGGAACTGTATGTTGAAGTTTCAATCAGAATCATACCTAGCTTCTTCAAAAACAAAAAAAAAAAAAAAAGAAAGAAAAAAAAGATAATAGCTTATTAAAAAAAAAAAAGAAAACGCATTCGCATATATCATTATTTTCTAATGAAGATATTTTTTTTACATTCATCAAATTTTCGCAATCACGTGAAAGCATTACTAAATTGCAGGAAGTTTGATACATTTGTACCCAATAAAATAGCGTGTAAATATTGATGAGGAATAATAATAAAAAGACGCCTATAAATATGAAATAATTGAAGATGAAAACTGGGATTAACTCAGACATGTAATCGATCTATTTTTAAAAGTAATTGACATAATTGATAAAAACGAAGTATCTTTGCTCGAGTTAATTGAGAAACAACATCAGTCAATGAAGATAATCGCGGTGTAGCTAATTACTTTCTAAGCAAACTCTCAGTACTCGGGTTGCAGTGAGTAAGCCGAGTTGGAAACACATGCAGCGATCATACCACGCGAATTGTCAACGCTACTAGCGTATTCTAGGTCGCCACGTATCAGAAATCTAACGTAGCTTCTTTCCCCCGTAACAAAGAACACGTATCACTTTTATGTCACGACTGCTGAAGTTCCCATAGCAATTACTGTAAACTCTGATCCTTAGTTTCTCTAACGATCTTTATTTTTCTCGAATTAAATCGAGGTTGCGTAACTTCTTCTCAAAAATGACGAGAAACTACAAACATCAAATTGAAAACAGGATTTATCTTCAGATCAAGCCGTCGGTGACTCGACGATTGGCTATGATTAACGTAATTATACCTAGAAACACGTAACGCAATAATACGTTTTATCTTCCCTCCGTGAGGAACTCTACGAAAAATCTACAGTCATTGAAGAGTCTGCATATATCTGTCAAATTTCAAATATTTCAAACAGAAAAAGGAGGATTTGGACACTTTATGGGTCTTAATTAACTTTTTAGATAAAATTATCTAGATCGTTTATAAAATACAGAGAACGTTTCTAATATAATTATAAAATAGTTAGGAAGTACAATCTTATGATGAATTTACATCTAAAATTGGCATATATTCGGTGAAGTGGATATTTATTTTATAATTACAATATAATAACAGTGAAAATACATCTGCGATTATTATTATAAACACATTTTGAGATTGTAATTACAATAATGAGAGAATGCATTTTATATGGGTATTTTAATGCATAAGTTTTCATTCTGATTCATTTTAACAAATATAAGAAACATCGTCATTTTTTAAAGAATCTCTGTAACATTAACTGTAATTATAAGTTAGTCACAAAAATGTTCGCGGTTCTTGATTTTCTTCTTACATATCTGAAATTCTCAGACGCATGTAGACGTTTGTGACTGCATGAAAATTGTCAACTCGTGCGTTGACAAATTCATGCGCGATTTTCGTAGAAGAAATCGCGCCCAGATCGGCAAGATGTACCATAAATTCGTCCGGCGACATCTGGTTAATTTGGGCCGATGTATAAATAAAATTTCGGCCGAGGCGAACGTCAGATATTAAAACCAATTAAAAGCTGGGTAAATCCGATATCGATGGACGATTACGTAAATCATTCAGGCCGCGTACGTTTAAAGCATATCACTCACTCGACAAGCTTGGGGAGGGGGGAAAGGTGAAATTAATTTTGCAATTCGCAACACTGCCGGGACGTTTTCAAAAGTGCACGCACGCTTGTTGAGAGAGCGAGGCAGCGTAGTGATTGCAAACGATAATCGTACCCGTTCATAAATATTCGATCGTTAAACAGAGATCGCGTTTATTATTGTCGTTCGGTGCGCGACGTGATTGTATCATAGCCTGTATAAATTATTATAATTAGCAGTTATAATAGGATGTGCGGATTAAAATTCAAAAGCGATGAAAATTGATGTTTACGATCGTCGATCGCGTTCGCGTCGGTGACTAAATATTATTTTCCGACGTTCACGCAGTTTGTTGAAAGAGCGGACGATCCTTTTCGTAAGATCGATGCGATCCTTTTTTGATCTGTCAAGCATGAAGCGTGAGATGAAGTTTTTCATCAGGATCGAATATGACGATACAATTCGTTATGACTAGACTGCAAATCTTTGTACAATTTCATATTTCTATTGAGGGCAATTGAATAAATGGAGTCTAGACAGAAGTTTGTTTCTAAATATTATAACAAGTATCTTACATTTGCACACTTGTAAGTTTAATTTAACATTACAATAAATATTTTTCTTTGTATTTTATTTTTATATACCTTTGTTTTTGTATTCGGTGCATTTTTATTTTCTCTAACTCTCTATAAATTCTATCAAAAAAATTTACAGTCTAGCGATAACATTTTTAAAACACTCACATATGCACTGGTACAAGATATTGAGATACATAACGGAATAAACGTCTAACTGTAAACTCGCTCATCTTCAATTTTAGTGCAAAGAGTTTTTTGTTTTGTAACAGATGCTCGATGCCGTGACAATTAAAACGTAGATGTTTCAGCAGAAAATAGCGGTATCGACTAATATAATTGCAATTTAATTATCAAATGGGAAACCGTGTGTACGTATGGACAACATACTTCGTCATACTTTCGTCACACACCTTATATATCGTTATATAAAAACAGCCACCTCAACATTCCTGGAAAATGTTCCTCGGTTAAGAGGTTAATAGCTGTTATCGAAGACGAATTATATATTTTAATTGATAGCAATGTTCGCGAACGTACAGACGCGACATCGAAGTATGATTCTTACGTAAGATACTACAACAACATACAACGTGCATCTATACAGAAAAGAGATATATGTATGTACAGATGGAAAAAGAGAGGAAAAAAAAAAAGAACGAAGACAGCGTTCCAAGAATTGAAACGCAAGATAGACTGTACGCTCGGAATCTTAATCACACACGATGAGAAAAACTGGAGATTTTATCCAGACTGCAAGTCGGTCGTTTCGCAAATACGGTTGTATCACGAGCCCTTACCAGTATTGTCATATATCTTTTCTGCGCGATCCACGAGAAGAAATTCCTCCTGTGCACGTTTCACCGATTTCCTTGCCAGATTGTTCTTTCTATTGTCATCGTTTTCTCCGCTACGACTATGTCAGATCGTTGCGATTCGTTCGCCTTCTGAGCGGCGAATGCAACAGCAGAAATTATCAAGCTTCGATATATCAAACTGTTCGATTTAGCTTCGAGCAGAGTTAGGTTTCCAAGTGATCTGTTGATGGAAAAGCGATGGAACAAAAGTGATATAAAAAACACGATCTATACGTGTCAGCTTAACGCTAAAGCAGAACGAAATTTTAATTCAATCTTATTTATTTCTATAGGATGAAAACCCTTATTTGATCTTAACTTCAATTTTTATAATTTTAGTTTTAAAACCTTAATTTTATTTTAATTTTCAAAGATGTAATACAGAACGAGAATTATAGAGGGTATCTACTACTAAAAATAAAAATCGATAGATATAGGAAGTCAGATATCACAGCTACATAAATTTTATCCTAGTTCAAACAGATAATTAGTTCGTAATTTTTTACGGAAACTTTACGATGAAACAAGCGACCAAAAGCTTGCGTTCTCTGTTGTATTATAAATTTTTTTCTACTCCTCGTATGTTGATTTCTCTGACACATCGTCGGTAAGTTGCGGTAATCTTCCTCAGAAATTTTGTTAATATACAATACAGTAAAAACGAGTGAATAAAAACTTGTGTTCTTACATATTAATTTATCTGATGCAAGTTTTATACTTTGTCGGTAGTCCTAGGATTAAGTGATTGATAAGTTTTCTCTTTGTGATTCTTTTTCGTCTCTTAAATGTCCATTAATTATTGCTTCATTCCGAGCAAAATAGCAGCGAACGTTTTACGACCGTATAATTACTATCTTCTCGAGATAAAACAGTTAACGTCTGTTTTCGATGATAAAGCCACACGAATACGTTACACAGCCTTGTATGTCTATTATATCTTAATGAATTTTAGATGAGTTTCGTGTTCCTTGTTTGAAACGTTCACTTATCTTGCCGGGGCAAAAGTACTAAAAAGTCATTAAAGCAGAACCGATTAATGTGTCATTTAAGTGACTCTAATTTGTTTTGAAGCCGTCGAATGGAATACACGAAAATACAAAATGAATTTGAACGCGGAGGATGTTTGCAAGCCAGCATCCGTCCGTATTTAGAAAGTAAAAACGATTACACGTGGTACAAATCACCCTGCAATTTCTCACAACTAATTAACTACTTACAGCGTTCTCCATTACCCACCGGACACTGGGCATTAATATTAATAATGCTCGAGAGTGGCAAATTAACCGCGTAAGTCTCGTTGTGCAAACATGGTCGTACCAAAAAAAAAAAAAAAAAAAAAAAAAAAAAAAAACCCACGTACACTTATAACCTCGTTTACGTTTCACCAGAATCACGTTACCTCATTTATCAACGTGAATCTCGTAGCGAATCCTGATTAGCGAAACTTGATGATGATCAATGGCCATCTATTCGACAGCAATATTAAGATTTCTTTCTTACAGAGTAGTCAATAATACGTTATAATTACAATTGCTACGGGAACAAATACATCTAAACACTTTTACTATTTTATTGCAGAAAATTACGATTAGAGTGCGGATTTTTATGCACTTGCAGAACATTTAAGGAATTCAAAGAACGTATGAAATGTATATGCGTAG